GTCGTGGTCTCCATCCTGGTTATCCAAAAGCGGATTTCTGGTATTGTTTCTTGTGTATTTTGACCTTGGCTTTCCTACTGACTATTCCGATATCTGTATCCCTTAACCTTTGGCTTGGCTCCTGACTATTCTGACTTCTATATTCCTTGACCCTTGGCTTGCATACCATTTATGCAATATGTGCATTCTTGACCTCAGTCTGTCTTTTTTGTTTTTCATTTTAAACGTTAAATCCGTCCATTCTAAGGCTGGGTAATATGCCTGAGGGTTTTCTTTATTTTTACATTTTTAAAGTTCTGCGTATTGGGAATATTAATGTATCCTGACACAATCATTTTCTCCATAGGTTCTCTCAAAGAGCCAGAGTCATCCAGAAGCAAGGTGGTCTTCTAGGCCAGTCTGACTACTGCTGCATCCACCTTGGGAGCCGAGATCCAAGAGGCAGAGGCAGCTTTCTTGAATGGGTATAGCTTGGACCACTTATCTTGAAAACTGACACATTTCTCAAACTTATCGCATTCATCATAAATAAAGGTCTTTAATGGTCTCATGGAGGAGAAAATCTGTTTCTTTTCTTCTGAGACTAGCAAAGTGCTTGCTACATGAGGGCATTGGACAGAGGATTCCTCCAAACTTAGCATTCCCTCACTGCCTCAATGAGTGCTTCAGTTTTCCTTTCATCAAACCCTTCTGAATATGGGAACCCCTCATCATCAGATGACACTGGGTGTTCTGTAGAAAAATTACCCTTCTCATAAGAGCCATGCATAGAGCTCTCACTGTCAGAGATCTCTCTCCTTGTAGGCTTAGAATGCCTGGTAGACTGAGTGGCTTTCTTAACACCAAGGCGTGTTAATTGCAAGATGAGCTACTGTCAGCTCAGCTTTCATGCAGGCTATGCAAATCCGTTTCCCTTCTGCCACCACATCATAACATGCATTGCAGTTATTAAGCCTTGGTCTCCTGTCCACAGGTGAAACCGGATATCTCCATGGAGACCTGAGTGAACTGACATAATAACATAATGACAGAAGGCACTCTTTTGATTCCAAATTGAGGTAATATATTTTTTAAATGGAAAAAATGATTTGACATACCTTGTTCTTCTAGATTGTGACCTATTTCTTTTCTTGACTGGTGAGGCCATGAAGCCAATACCCGAGCAGCTGGAAAGAGACTGCCCGTCTAATATCCAGATAAGACAAAAAAACTTTGCAATTCATCTAATGCAAGTTAGAAAATAATCATAAGGAATCCCACAATAAAGAACTTACCTTATTGCAAAAAAAGGAAAACCTAAAAGATCTGCAGAGACTAGAGCACTGTATAGCTTGCAGGACAAATAACATCAGATTGTCTATAGACTCAATAGGAGAAAAAAAACTAAAATTTAAATGAGAAAAAAACGCGGGAACAAAATTAGCGATTCCACCGAATTTCACCCAAATTCAACCAGATTTATCCGAAATCGTCCCAAATCATAGGTCACATCTGGCAAAAGCTGCCTTACCCGGAAGCACTTACTGTTAGGCGCCAAAAATGCTAACAGATATGAAATTCATCTCTGCCAAGCTCTGTAAGAGTTTGTCACCTGCCAGGAAGTCTGGAACCTGTTCCCATCAGCAGAAATAAGGTACCCATAGGGATTAATCCAACATTGAAAAGTTCCTAGCTGCTACCCAAGGGTCACTGCAGCATGCACCCCCGGTCACTAAGTGGGTATACGCATGGGGTCACCCTTATGAGGTGCCGTCTACAGCAGCTTCTGGGAGAAGAGTACTACAACACCTGAGAGGTGTTCTTTCCCATCATCTCCTACTTGGCTGAGGACAGCTCCCAGCCCGAACATGTAAGCGTCTGTATGGACAATAAAACGTCGATTAGGGGCTGGGGCAGCCAAGACAGGAGCATTAATCAACGCAGTTTTGAGGGCTTGGAAAGCCGTTTCACAGTGGGGAGACCACAGGACCTGTCGGGGAAGGTTTTTCTTTGTCAGGTCGGTCAGGGGTTTGGCAATGGCGCTATACTCCGGTACAAATTTTCTGTAGTACCCAGCGGTGCCCAGAAAGGCTAGCACTTGGGTCTTAGTGTGGGGAGTGGGCCAGTTGGCGACCGCTTCTATTTTAGCTGGCTCTGGTCGTTGCTTCCCACAGCCTACCCGGTGCCCCAGGTACTGAACTTCCGCCATCCCAAAGTGGCATTTTTCGGGCTTTAGCGTCAGGCCGGCGGCTCGAATCTGGTCTAGGACCATTCCCACATGAGCCAAGTGTTCCTCCCAGGATTCACTGTCGTCTAGATATGCGCAGGCAAACTCCTGGAAGCCATCAAGGAGTCTGTCCACCAAGCGCTGGAAGGTAGCAGGGGCATTCTTCATCCCGAACGGCATGACCTTAAAGTGGTACAGACCGAACGGGGTGACGAAGGCCGACTTGGGGACAGCCTCCCTGGCCAGGGGGATTTGCCAGTAACCTTTACAGAGGTCAATGGTAGTTAGGTAGTTCCCCCTGGCTATGCGATCCAACAGCTCATCCACTCTGGGCATGGGGTAGGCATCGGTGACCGTTTTGTCATTGAGTTTCCGGTAGTCCACACAGAACCTGGTGGTGCCGTCCTTTTTGGGAACCAGCACCACCGGGGATGCCCAGGGACTATCGGAAGCTTCAATGACCCCTAGTCGCAGCATCTCGTCTATCTCCTTTTTCATGCCTGTCCTTACTGCCTCCGGAATTCGGTAGGGCGCCTGTCTCAAAGGGTTTTGGCCGGGGGTATCTACTTGGTGAGTGGTCAGCTCAGTGTACCCTGGTTCTTGGGAGAACATGGCTTGTTTCTCTCGGAGCAGTTTGTGTAGCTGCTCCCTCTCAGCTTGGCTAAGTCTGTCCCCGATCTGTACTTGGCTCACTATTTCAACCGGGGAATTAGGGGTTAATAGGTCGGGTATAGGTAAACTATCTGCGTCCTCGTGCGCAGGGCTACATATGGCTGACACTTCCTCGGGTCTTTGCAAGTATTCCTTCAGCATGTTCACGTGAAATATCTTTCTTAAGTTTTCATCGTGACAGCTGGCAATTACATAAGTGGTGTCCCCTCTCTTTTCCACTATCTGGTAGGGACCCTGCCAAGCGGCTTGCAGCTTGTCCGTCTTAACTGGTTTTAGGACCATGACTTTCTGCCCGAGACAGAAGCTTCTTCGCCGTGCCCCCCGGTCGTACCAGACTTTCTGTCGCCCCTGGGCCGCCTGGAGGTTGGCCTGGACTGACTTAGCCAATTGCTCCATTCGGTCCCGGAGCTCCAGTACGTAAGGTACGATGGGGACCCCAGCGTTCTCTGTCTCTCCCTCCCAGTGCTCACGGATCAAGTTCAGGGGACCCCGTACCTTGCGACCGTATAACAGCTCAAAGGGAGAGAACCCGGTGGTTTCCTGGGGCACTTCCCGGTAAGCGAACAGGAGGTGCGGCAGGAAACGTTCCCAGTCCCTATACTCCTGAGTAAAGGTTTTTAACATCTGCTTGAGGGTTCCGTTGAACCGCTCACATAATCCATTGGTCTGGGGGTGGTATGGGGAGCTAAGCAGGGATTTAATTTTGCAAACGTGCCAGAGCTGCTGGGTCAGCTCTGCCGTGAACTGTGAGCCTCTGTCGGATAAAATCTCCCTAGGGAATCCTACCCGAGAGAATACCTGTACTAAGGCATTAGCCACTGTGTCTGCCTGGATATTGGATAAAGCCACCGCTTCTGGGTAGCGGGTAGCGTAATCCACTATGGTAAGGATGTATCTCTTGCCAGAGGGACTAGGGGTGGCCAGGGGCCCAATTAAGTCGATGGCTACCCGGCTAAATGGCTCGTCGATAATGGGCATGTTCACGAGATGTGCCTTGGGGTGGTCTCCTCGTTTGCCTACCCGTTGGCACACCTCACACGTATTACAGTAGGACCTTACATCGGCATGTACTCCTGGCCAGAACAAGGTATGGGTAATACGGTGTAGGGTACGTGTTACTGCCAAGTGCCCGGCTAAGGGAATATCATGACCCACCCGGAGGATATCCCGCCTATACTTGTGGGGTATCACTAACTGTCTCCTTCGGTGCCCTTTTTTCTCTGTGTGTCGGTACAGTCGACCCTGTTCCCATGCAAAAGTCTCCTGGTCTGTTCCCCCAGCCCCGGTGTCGGCTCGTTCCCTATATTTTTGGAGCGTCGGATCAGTTTTGGTCTCAGCCTCGAAGGCTGCAGGGGTGTCCCAGGGCAATGGGGTAGGAGGGGGGGTCATAGTCGGGTTAAGTCTTACCTGCGTCTCCCGCACTGGTGAAGGGTCTCGGGCTCGTCCAGCTTGTGACCGGGTCGTCACAGGATGTGCCTCAGCATTGTAGGACGGGGCATAAGCTGAAGTCATAGGTCCCAGGTCGTTTCCCAGCAAAACCTCGGCTGGCAAATTATCCATAATTCCCACCCTCACAAGTCCTTTTCCCGCACCCCAATCCAAGTGTACCTTTGCCGTGGGTAGTTTGTATATGTCCCCTCCAGCCACCCGGACAGCCACTGTGTCAGGTGAGCGTTTGTAGTCGGGGACTAACCGGCTTTGTACCAAGGTGATCGTGGCCCCGGTATCTCTTAACCCCTGTGTGGGACGCCCCTCCAGTAGTACCTCTTGCCTGTGGTGTTGTCTATTGTCGCTGGCGGCATACACAGGATTCGCTTCATGTAGGGGTCCCAGGTATTCTTCTAGAGGACTGTCTTGTTCCAGGCAAAACGCTCGAGCTGGACGATTGTTTCCCGTTGGGGAAGAATTATAGTTCCGTGCGGGGTAATTGTTGTTAAGGGGGCAACTCGCTATCAGGTGCCCCGGCTGCTTGCACTTATAACATGTGGGTCGGGAACGTTCCTGAGGGTAGTGGCTGGGTGGTCCCGGGTACCGTGTAGGACCTGCGGGTACAGGGTTGCGAAACTCCGTTCGTGGAGTTGATCGGTATCCCTCTCTTGCTTCGGGGCGAGTTACCATTCGGGCATTGTTGAACTCCTGTACTTGCGCATCCCGGTGCTCGTCTGCCAACCGGGCTGCTTCGTGTAGGTTAGCGGGACGCCGGTCTTTCAACCACTCCCGGTCTTTTTGTTCCAGACCCTCATAAAAATGCTCTAATAAGAAAAGTTCCAATATTTCCGTGGCCGTGACGGCCCGACACCCGGTAATCCAATGGGTTGCAGCTCTCCGCATACGATGTGCCCATTCGGCATGGGTATCATTCGCTTTTTTCTTCGTGCTGCGGAACTGCCTTCGGTAGGTGTCTGGGGTCACAGCGTACCGTTTCAGCAGCGTCTCTTTGACTGTGGTGTATTGGGCTACCTCTTCGGCGCTGAGGGTTCTGAAGGCTTCCATGGCCCGCCCGGTTAATTTTCCTGCCAGGATACGCGGCCACGCTGTGACGGGGATCTGATGCAGGGCACATTGTCTTTCAAAATCGGCCAAAAATTCGTCTATCCCCATCTCATTCTCCGCGAACGGTTTGAATGCCGCGAACGGGATCTTTGGCTGTTCGGTAGTTTCCAGGGGGCCGTTGTGGCTATCAGCGGTCTTCATGCTCAGCTCGTGGGCTCTAGTCCGCTGTACGTCCGCCTCGGCTTCGGCCATTAGTTGCTGTATCAGCTCCACGGATGGGTTTGGTCCGTACAGAGGCAGCCTTTCTCGGACGATCCTGGTCTTCTCATCGCTGCATGTTGCCGTTGGTTCTGCCATTGTGAAGCTTTGATCCAACTCGTTAAGGTCGGCAATCAATTCTCTCCTCGGCCGGTTACTTGCGTTCCCTCCACGGCTCTCGAGTAAATCCTTTAACGTGGTACGCTTCAGTTTGTCGTAGTTACTCTCCATCCGTCCTAGATATCTCTCTTTAGGAATTCCAGGATGATCCCGCCGCTGCCACCAATTGTTACGATTGCCCCCGGTCTAGCAGGAGGGTTGATCGCTTGGATGTCCTGGTTCCCGCTGCAGAGAGTCGAACGGAGGTCTTTCGGTAATCAGCTGTAAGTGTAGAATATCCCCAAGCACGATATAAACATCAATATCCCGGATCCCTACAACATGAGTCGAGGCTGCAAGTTGAGGGTCAAAACGAACTGGCTTTACTGGCACATAGCATGGCAATTTATGTGATTCCTCAGGTCCAAGGACAGCCCCCTGTGGACCTGATGGAATACAGGTACAGTACAAACAGGTAACCAATCACAGTATACTGTATCATTTGAAGTAGTACCCGCCCAGCTTGGAGATAATGAGGCCAACGGTTTTACAATCTAATTATCTCCAAGCGCACAAAAGACCACGTTTTATTATGCCCCAGAAAACTACATAAAAATCCATAACTTGTACATTATTACAGGAAAACCATTCATTCCACCATTCATTTGAAGGCTCGCGTTCGTATAGATAAACCAGGCGAATGCCGCTCTAATCCCACGAACAGAATGTACTGTTTCTGCCGTATAAAGTCCGTTCGGCATTATGAGACGGTTAGTCTTTGTTGGCGGCCATGTTTTCTGCTGGTTTAGCGAGCAGCGGGACTTCGTGTCTAACTCGTGGAACTAAACTCGGTATCAGTTCCTGCGAAGTCCCGCTGTCGGTCTGGTAGTGGGCTCGTTCGGTAAGGGAATGAGGACCACCTGGGAGCAGGGTACTTGACCTGCGGTTAACCGCAGAAACCACAGTTAATGAGCGCCACGCGACCTGCTGTAGGGGGTCGTCGTTCGGTGGATCGTTCGGTATTTTCCCTTCGGTACTTTGGGTGCGAACGTCGATGCCCCCAGGCATAACAATTACATTGTGGTCAACCGCAAACCGCAGCCATGTGGGTGGTTAATGGCTACCACACTCCGCGAGCCGGGGGGGTCGCCCGTTCGGTAGTTTGCGGGGTGACGGGGTTAAGTGGCGGCACACGCCAGTTTCTGGGGGGTCCCCCGTTCGTACCACGAATGGAGCCTCCATAAGGGTTCGTGTAATCCATTCGTGTGGTTTTCTGTTTAACTTATGCAGTGGCAAACAGTATCAATCAGTGAGTAAGAACAGCAACATAGTGATTTCCAGTCTTTTGTAACAAACTAATCCCAGGAAAAGTAACTAACAAGTCCCTGGTATGTCAAAAAGAAAAAATAGAATAATAAAATATCAAACAGAGAAAATCCAAGACATGCAAAGAACTGGGGTATTATGGTCATGTGGCCTTTTATGGGCTAAAATGTAGTCCTGTTCAATAGTCCTGTCCAATGGGATGAAAAACATGGAGGGTTAGTTAAGGAAAGGGCAAAATCTCTAAATAACTTTTTTTCCTCAGTATATATTTACATATGACAAGAAATATGTAAATGATTGCTGCAAATAACTTGCAGAAAAATTGTGATTGGATGACCCAATCAAGGTGCTGCAGCAACTAAATAAAGTTAAACACCTGGGGCCTGACAGTATACACCCTCGAGTACTTAATGTGCTAAGTGTGGAACTAAGTTAACCTGTTTTTAACTTTTCAGGAACTGCACTGGAGGGTTGTAGGAAGGCAGAAGTGGTTCCTATATTAAAAAAGGGTTCACAATCTAGACCAGTGAGATTAACCCCTTAAGGACCAAACATCTGGAATAAAAGGGAATCATGACATGTCAAACATGTCATGTGTCCTTAAGGGGTTAAAGGGCATAGTCACCAGAACAAGGGGACAGGACAACTGCACCGTATCAAAGGGACGATGGACGGGGTCATGTACCGTCAAATCTTGGATGAGAACCTCCCTCAGCCAGGGCATTGAAAATGGGTCGTGGATGGGTATTCCAGCATGGCAATGACCCAAAACACACAGCCAAGGCAACAAAGGAGTGGCCCAAGAAGAAGCACATTAAGGTCCTGGAGTGGCCTAGCCAGTCTCCACACCTTAATCCCATAAAAAATCTTTGGAGGGAGTTGAAGGTTTCGAGTTGCCAAATGTTAGCCTTGAAACCTTAATGACTTAGAGAAGATCTGCAAAGAGAAGTGGGAAAAAACTCCACGGCGGACAGCGAGGGAGCGCTGATTTGTGAGCTCTCTGCTCAGCTCCCTCGCGCACCGCAGAGTGATGCCGGGAGCTGGAATATGATGTAATATTCCAGCTCCTGGCATCACTCTGCAGTGCGTGAGGGAGCTGAGCAGAGTGCTCACAAATCAGCGCTCCCTCGCCGCCCGCCTTGTAACTCAGCTAGCCGCCTGCCACCAGGCTAACAAGGTATTTGCCTGGGCATTTGGGGGCAGGGTTTTTTGCCGCCTCTTGGAAAGTGCCGCCAAACGCTAATGCCTTGTTTGTCTCGCGGCAAATATGTCACTGTATATAGTGTTCAAGTAGAGATTGTAGCCGTATTAGTCCAGTGATGTAGATGTAAAAAACAAATAAAATTAGTTTGGACTAACAGAATGTTTTAATCACAAGCTTTCAGGAGAACCTCCCTTTCTCAAGTCTGAAGCATTTCTGAGCAAGACAACACATAGAATTTAAAGTTGAGTTGTGATACAGGGGTTAAAGCGATATGAGTGCGGATAAGACACAGGTTTGATAGAAAATAGAAAACATTCTTTCAGAGGGTCATTAATATCTTTCTAAAGATCAGAGTGAGGGGGAAGAGGGAGAAAACCAAAACAGAAAAACAAGTAGGCAGTGCAGAAAATGTACACTTTATACATAGAGATGTCGCGAACCGGACAGCTGCCTTCAACATGGATGCTGTCCAGGAGGTGGGAGGGTCTGGGAGGGAGGGTCTGCTGGAGAATGGCCGGGATGTGTCAGCTGACCGGAGCTCGCCGTGAACGGTTCGTGGCGAACAGCGGCAAGCCGTTCGCGGGAAGTTCGCTAACGGTTTGCGACATCTCTATTTATACACACACACAAATATATACATATGTATATGCAAAAACACATACACATAAACACATATACATACATGCACATGAACTCATATACAGAAATATAAATGCACAGCCACATATATAGGCATACATGCATAAGAGTATGGGAAAGCATAGGTCTACACATAGTACTTATATATTGATAGAATAAACATATTGGAATGCGTTTTGAAGTGTTGATACATATGACAGAACAGTAAGATAATGTGGGGGAGTGTTCATGTAAAGTGTTGGTAGTGGGACAGGAAACACAAATCAATATTTAGTCCTCTATTCTTGCTGTTAAACAATTTGATCATTCTGACTTCAAAAGTTTTTCTTTCTTGGGTATCATACTCCTGCACATCCAGCAATGTGGTATACATGATTCAATGCACCAAATGCACCCAGCATTTAAATGGCAGAATGAATATGCACAGACACTCCATTAAACACCACAAAGAGGAATCGTGCTGCACTCCTGTGGGACACCACTTTACCTAGCCTGGCCACTCCAGTGGCGGATCCAGAGCCTGATCTCGGGAGGGGCACTTGTAGATTATTTAAAGAAATAATGCAGACACAATAACCACTACAGCTCAGTGTAGTGGTTATGGTGTCAATAGTGCCAGGACCCCCTCCTAGAGTAAGTAGTCAAACCGTTTAAGAACAGTTTGACAACTTACCTGAGGTCTGCTGGGAAATTAGGCTGTAGTAGGCCATAGGAGCAGTGGTGTGTGTGAGTGGTGCAATGTGTAAGGGGTGCAGTGTGTGTGTGAAGGTTGTAGTGTGTGAGTAGGGGGGGCAGTGTATGTCAGGGGTGCAGTGTATGTGTGGGACAGTATGTGTGTGACAGTATGTGTGTGTAACAGTTGCAGTGTGTGTGTGTGTGTGTGTGAGTGTGGGCAATGCGTGTGTATGGGGCGGCAGTGTATGGGGCAGTGTGTGTATGGGGGGCAGTATGTGTGTATGAGGGGGCAGTATGTGTGCATGGGGGGCAGTATGTGTGCATGAGGGGGCAGTATGTGTGTATGGGGGGCAGCATGGGGGGGCAGCATGGGGCAGTATGTGTGTATGGGGGGCAGCATGGGGCAGTATGTGTGTATGGGGGGCAGCATGGGGCAGTATGTGTGTATGGGGGGCAGCATGGGGGGGCAGTGGGGCAGTATGTGTGTATGGGGGGCAGCATGGGGCAGTATGTGTGTATGGGGGGCAGCATGGGGCAGTATGTGTGTATGGGGGGAAGCATGGGGGCAATGTATATGTGTGTGTGTTAAGGGGAGGGGGGCTTTTTTTATATAATATATATTTTTAAATATTTAATTTTAAAAAAAAATATATCCTATGTCCCCCCTCCCTTCTTACCTTTCCTGGGGAGGAGGGGGGACATATTTCTATCCCTGGTGGTCCCAGTGGTGATTCCCTGGTGGTCCAGTGTGGAGAGTGAGCTC